GAATATCATCTACTCCTCAGGCACCACAGCGGATGATAACTTCACTATCAACAAATATTACAACAAATGGAATTCTTTAGAATTCCCAAAGTGAGAGAATGAAGAAAACATGAGGAAGAGAGAACTTGTTTTTGGGATGATTTCTAATGAAATACTTAGGCCTATTATAGTCGAGTTTTAAGGACTAAACTTACAAATAACCTAATATTTTAGGGATCAAAGATGAAAAATAAGCTGGCCACCTACCAAAGAATTTTTCAATGTGTACAAGTTAGCCACCAACCAAAGATGTCAACTTTACCAACTTTTAATTTTGCCAACTTTCAAATTTGCCAACTTTCAACTTTGCTAATTTTTCAAGCCAAACATAACAAATCTCCACCTTGGCTTGAAATTACCAAGCCTACTCAATTTCTTCAACTCCCTAAATTTTATGAAGCTCTTTTAATGTAGTGCCTCTAATTGTGCTCACAAGCGCCATACACCAGAAGGTGCTCAAACTTTCAGGATGTTAATCACGTTCAAATAATTATTGAACTTGATTACTGTTACCACCTTGGTCATCATATCTGCAGGATTTTCTGATGTCGCAATTTTTTGAAGTAGAATCTTTCTTTCTTCAAAGATCTCCTGCACAAAGTGATACCTCACGTCGATATGCTTAGTCCTTGAATGGTAGATTTGATTTTTCGCTAAGTGAATAGCGCTCTGACTATCACAATAGAGATTAATGTGACTTTGAACAACTCCCAAGTCTTCCATCAACCCGTTAAGCCAAATTGCTTCCTTCACAGCTTCTGAAACTGCCATGTATTCTGCCTCTGTAGTAGACAAAGCCACCGTAGATTGCAAAGTAGACTTCCAACTTACTGGGGATTTAGCAAGAGTAAACAAATACCTAGTAGTTGATCGACGCTTATCCAAATCACCAGCATAGTCAGAATCAACATATCCAACCACACACTGACCAAGTGCTTCATCATGTTCAAAAACTAAACCAACATCCACAGTTTGTTGGAGATAACGTAGAATCCATTTCACAGCTTGCCAATGTCCTTCTCCATGATCATGCATGTACCTGCTCACAACTCCAACTACTTGTGAAATGTCAGGACGCGTACACACCATTGCATACATCAAGCTCCTAACTGCATTAGCATATGAAAATTTTGCCATATACTCTCGTTTTTCGTTAGTTTTAGGAGATAATTGAGAACTAAGTTTCAAATGAGAAGCCAGTGAGATACTTACATGTTTGGTATTTTCATTCATGCCAAAACATTGTAATACTTTTCTCAGATATTACTTCTGTGTTAAACAAAGTTTCCCTCTCTGTCTATCTCTGCTTATCTCCATGCCAAGAATCTTCTTGGCCTCACCAAGATCTTTCATCTAAAACTCTTGATTCAACTGAGCCTTTAATTTGTCTATCTCCTTTATACTCTTCGAAGCGATCAACATATCTTCAACGTACAAGACAAGATAAATGAAATATCCATCTTTGATCTTTTGCAAATATACATAATGATCATATTTGCTTCTAGTGTACTTTTGCCTCCTCATAAAGCTATCAAATCACTTGTATCACTGCCTCGGAGATTACTTCAATCCATATAGTGATTTGTTTAGCTTACAAACCCATTTCTCACAACCACCATCTTTGTATCCTTCTGGTCGAGTCATATAGATCTCCTCTTCTAAATCACCGTGCAAGAAAGTCGTCTTTACATCAAGTTGAGCTAGCTCCAAATTCAACTGTGCTACCAAGGCCAACAATATTCTAATGGAGGAATGCTTCACAACAGGGGAAAATACATCATTGTAGTCGATTCCCTCCTTTTGAGCGTAGCCTTTAGCTACCAATCGTGCCTTGTAGAGAACATCTTTCTTGCTATGAGATCCATCTTTCTTTGCAAATACCCGCTTGCATCCAATTGCTTTTTTACCTTTCGGTAATTGTGTCAGTTTCAAGTGTTGTTCTTTTGGAGAGATTGCATTTCTTCATCCATGGCACTTTTCCACTTATCACTTTCCAAGCTTTGTATTGCTTCTTGGTAAGTGGTAGGGATATCATCATCAACAACTGAAAGAGCATATGTCACCATATCAACAAATCGAGCAGGTCTACGAATTTCTCTCCTTGGCCTTGTAATTGCAAGTGGTTCTCGTGTCTCCAATAGTTCTTGGGTTTGAACCTCTTCATCTTTGGATTCTTCTATTGGAGTTGAAGAATCAGCTGTATCAACGTTTGGGATCATCGTCTGCTGAAACTCCGCCTGTTTTGGAGTATGCTCCACCTGCTGCGGAGTACTACTTGTCTGGACAGCTTCATTTGTTACCTTCTTTACTAGGGCAAATTCATCAAAGGTAACATCTATGCTACAAATTATCTTCTTGGTTTCCAAACACCAAAGGCGGAATCCCTTCACTCTATGGGTGATTCCCATAAAGAGAGCCTTCTTTGCTCTCGGATCAAGCTTGCATTCCTTCACATGATAAGTAGTGGATGCAAATACATGTAAGGAATCATAATCAGTAGCAGGTTTTCCAAACCATACCTCCAATGATGTTTTTCCTCCTATGCTTTCCACATCTTACTTGCAAAAGTCTCGTTCTTATAGCCATACTTCTGCTCCCTGGTAAGACAAGATCAAATCGTGTTGCACGCCAAACGATTGATGGTTCCCCATTCTTTGTCCTCCATATATTTGGGCTTTTCTTCCTTAATGGTGATGTCTAGACCTTATTGGAATAAAGCGTCTAACACCTCGCCTTGCCACATGCCAAAATGACCGGATCCATCGAATAACTCCACCGAGAAATTTGCATTTGACATCCTCCTCCTCACCGGTCCGGATGAAGAGCTTTATGTCTCAATTGATCCGTATTTTGGCATTTTAATTCTAACGAACAATATTCAATAGCATGAACTGTATCTTTTCATCAACGGGACCACCAGGATAACCTCAACCGAAGCTCTAATACCAATTATTGGGGAAACCGAGTTATTTCTCACACGAACGTAGTTTCAAAATTGATCTGAAATATAAAGATCAAAACAACCAAAGGTTGCACAGTGGACAAACCCGTCAAACTACTGAATATTGAAACACAATGGAAAAACTGAATAAAGAACAATAAAGAAGAGAACATACCAAATTTACGAGGTTTGACGAGAATATCGTCTACTCCTCGGGCACCACACCGGATGCTAACTTCACTATAAAAAAATATTACAACAAATGGAATTCTTTAGAATTCCCAAAGTGAGAGAATGAAGAAAACAAGATGAAGAGAGAACTTGTTTTTGGGATGATTTCTAAAGAAATACTTAGGCCTATTTATAGTTGAGTTTTAAGGACTAAACTTATAAATAACCTAATATTTTAGGGATCAAAGATGAAAAATAAGTTGGCCACCTACCAAAGAATTGTTTAATGTGTACAAGTTAGCCACCAACCAAAGATGTTAACTTTGCCAACTTTCAAATTTGCCAACTTTCAACTATGCTAATTTTTCAAGCCAAACGTAACAATCTCAACATTTCACATTAAATATATGTTGGGTTCCAGGTTTCAACAATGAGCTTGATTTCTTGTCCAGATGAATCTTGGTGAATTGAACTGATCTTTTAAAGTTTTATGCAGAATGGCTCTTGTAGATGCTCATTTTTTCCGGGGATTTCATTCGAGTTTTGCTTGGGTTTATATTACATTATTATTAATATTTGGGGGTGTTTAAAATTATGTAGGGGCTACTTATCAATAATTATTTATGGGTATGACCATATATATTATTATTAGGGGAATATGTAACCATTATTATATACGTATAAACATATATAATAAGTAATTAAATAATCGAACATATATATTTATATATATAACAATAACTTAAAATGCACTATTTTTTTCTGTTACTCCCTACAGATATTACAAACCCAAAACAGCAGGCCTGAAGTGAAAAGATGACCAAATTACAAGTAAACCAGAGCAGAGCCAGTTTGAGGCCTAAGAAGCAATAACCCAAAGGTTTAGGGTTTGAAAAACACTAGCGCTACATCAAAGTCTAGCGTCGCCAGAAGTTTGGGACCGTCAGATTTGCTAACCAATCTGATGGTCCAGATTGATGATAACATAGGGTTTTCTATAACCCTAAAATATCAGGGATGCCAGCTACCGTCCAAACCTATCGACTGTCGGATTGGAAGGGCCTCCGTGTTTTTTTAAGTGACCAAGGGAAAACCATCGTCGTAGTTCCCCTTGTTTTACCATCCTTTCATGTTGATCCTATTTTCATATTTTTTTGTCTGATTTTGACCTGCATTTCTTCGTCAATTTCATGTTAGTCCTCTTACAGCTCATGGTCTTTACTTGGAAAATTTTACTCGAGTAAAACCCTAAAATTTTGTAAAATCGAATACACTTCTTTATAAAGAGGATTGGTAATTTTTAATTTAATTTGTTTTGGTGCATTTGAATATTACGATGGAACGATAATATTTCTTTATTCCGATTGGAATAAGAATTGATTGCCTCAAGGTATGAGGGGTCGTTTCTTCTCGATAGGAAATAATTAAATATTATTAGGTTCCATTTTAAAATTCATAAAGTGTTGTTTTATGGGATCATAAGCTAAATTAAATTCGAATTTGTGAATTTCAATGCAAAGACAATTAATTAATCGACTAGGTACCGATCTAGGGCTCTGTGGGGATGCTAATCCTTCTCCACACGTAACCTACTCCCTAACTCGAATTTTGGTAACACAGACCTCAAATTTATTATTTTAATTAAAATTAATATTTTTATTAAAATAACAAAATACGTTTTCGGGTGCCCAATCACACCCTAATCAAATATAAGTGGCGACTTCTCGAACCATAGTTTTTAATTTTAAAAGGGAATCCCAAATTTTTTCGAAACGATAGATTTTTAAATCACATTACTTTTTAATTAAAAATTAATGTGTTATTCGAAAATCCAAAAATCGTTTTTGTGTGTTTGATATGCGCCAAACTGCCGGGCCTCTGGAATTTGTTAACGGGTTGACAAACAACCCAATTCATACAATATATTCTACACTTAATTCAACCCTTCCCTCAGGTGTTACAACTGTTCTGTCAGCGTCATCCTCTGGCATTTGTCTGTGGAACTTTGGTGGATCTGAGCAGAGGTGAGTTGTACATTTGATAAGAAATGTAATCTATGCTTCTTGTGTAAATTATCCACAACATTAACAAATTTTGTTCCTTCTGGTTAACAATGTTTAGGGCTAAGTTAGATAATTTCTTTTGTTAGTTGACTACTCTAATTTGTAAAGCTGTGCCTGTCTAAGAAACTTTTGGCTTACTCTTTTGAAGGCCATTTATGGTTTTGGAGGCTGGTAATCAAGGAGCATGCATATCTCTTGCTTATTCTCCTAGCAGTGATGACATGGTTGCTTCATTTCGCCCAAGAATTGACAATTCTAGCGAGATGACATCTTCTCAATCCTTACTAACTGCTGCTCATGCTCTTGAGCAAGGGGTTCAAGGTTCCCATGTTCATTTGAAGAGAGTCGGAAGCAACTTCTATCAGAAGTTGGCGGTTACATGTGCCAATGTCAATGATGTTCGATTGCTATGATCCACAGTTATGAACATAGAGAATCATGGGTGTCTGTTTGTATCAGGGGATGAACTTACCTGTGAATTGGTCTTGCAAGAGTTGCCATCTTTTACTGTTGTTCAGCACCTTAAGTCACCAAAGCAGCCTATTTATGATGTAAAGTATGCACATGCCTGAAAAGGAGGTTTGTTAGGTTGTTTAAGTGAGGGTATTTTGCTGCTGTACAGTAATCATGCTCTAAAATAGATTTGGATTCTAACTGGGAATCTGTCCGAAAGAATTCCTTTCCTAACGAAGATGATTGTGTGTGTGTGTATATATATATATATATATGTATGTATCTTTACGTATATTTAGGGCCATCTGATGGTTGAGAGTTATTGCAGTGAAGGTTGCGATAACTTCTGTTGATATTGTACGAGTGCCTTGAACGTGATTGCAGGTTTCTGAATGTTCCCGGAGGTGATCGACCCGAATTTCTTGTTTGTTCCTTGAATAATAGACTATTGAGCAAGGGTGAGCATTGTTTTTTGTTGTCTCCACTTGCATTGTATTATTATAGCTATGGTTTGCAATCTAATTAGACGATTTAGCTAATTTATCCTGCATAAGATTTAGCTAATCTTGTTATATATATTATTGTCTTACAATGTTGACAATGAAAATTTTAGTTTTCATTGACTATTAGGGGAGCACCCCGAGCTATTGTTTAGGCTCTCAATTTTTATATATTTATAATTGGGGTCTTAATTTCTATATTTATATTTAATTCTTTTGTTTATTATCTCTTAGTCATATTTAAGGTGTTTTCTTAATAATAAAAATAATGTGTTTGACAAAATTTAATTATTTTATTATGATTTGTTGATATAATATTAAATTAATTATTTAAAGTAATAAAATATGTGGTTTAATTTGAAGTTTTCTTTTGAGATTTCGAAAACGTTCAATCCGGATGTGTTAATATCAAATGTGGTTAAGACTGAAATTCGAGACGTTGGACTGACTGTGATGTAGAAACAGTATTTCTCAGCAATTTGAGAGGCCACCATGATTGATCCTCAAAGCTGGACTACCAAAGGACAGAAATCACAATGAATGAAAATTATTACGAAATGACAAAAGAAGAAAGCATTTTTATACTACTTTAATAAGAGTTGTAAAGCTCCTTACCAACGACCCCATTGTTTTTCATTCTTTTGAATTATTGTTGCCCAAATCTCATTCACTAATCCCATCAACATAATTGCCTTAAATTACAAAATCAAGTATTTCCTATTATTTAAAGTGTTACTTCACGCATGTTTTAGATTCTTTTCTAGGAGGTTGCTACTCAACTTTCTTGATTAGATCGTGAGTTGAAAATCATACTAGGGTAAATCACAAATAGATACTAACTCGCTAGATTTTTAATTTTATCAATTATATCATTGAACTTTAATTTTACATTTAATTATGTCACTCCGTCGTTAAATCACTATTGAGATGATGATAGGGCTAAAAATTGATGATGTGGTCTACCACACCAAAACAATATTGTTTTGATGCGACTATTATGATGTCTAATATGACAGCGTTTTAGACATTAAACTCTGGGGTATATTGATTTTGACACTAAACTTTTAAATAATTTATTTTTCTGGCATTACACTTTTCGTCAGTCACCAATAGCTAATCACTGTTTGTCATCGATTATCTTTTGCAACAAAATAAGTATTAAAATGTTCGTATTTTACTCCTCACTCTTCTTATAGGGTTATTTTTCACGAAATCCACTCAAAATTGATGAAATTAAACAAAGAATCTACTATTTTTTATGTTTAGAAATTTTATTAGATTTATGAGATTTTAAGTGTTAGTTTTAAAAGTGAGAAGTATTATTTCAAGAAGACGGACAACATACATCAAAACTAGCCTCATCTTGAAAGAGATCAAAGTATTAATACGTTAAACTTTTAAATGAATTTTTATTGATTTTTAGTGGGTTTATTGAAAAATCAATCATATGAGAAGAAAGTGTAACGCTAAAAAGTAATTTGTTTAAAAGTTTAGTGGCACAATTGATACATATGTAAAGTTCAATGCAAAAAATGATGTCATTTTGGGTATCAATCGTCGTCACCAAAACGACGCCGTATTGATGTGGCAGCCATCTCAACAACCATTAATCATGTCATTGTCTCATTAGTGGTTTAACGAAAGAGTGTCATAATTGAATGGAAAACTAAAGGTCAATTATATAATTAGTAAAATTAAAAGTTTAATGACAAACAAGTCAGCAAACAAAGTTCGGTGGTATTCGAAGTAATTTACCCTTATATTAAAAACCTTTATCACAATCTCATAACTAGCTAGGAATCTTTTTCCTTCAATCTTCATCCGAAAAGAGGCTTTCAGCAGCATTTGGCAAGGCCAAATATTATTATATTAAAATATACGCATTAATGTAATCCTTTAAAAAGTATTAGGTTCAAGTAAACAAATGATCATTAAATAATGCTGAAATGATATTTTTGGTTTCTAAATTTTAATTTCGATCACAAAATGATCACAATGCCGTGAGTTTCCATTAATTATCATCAAAGGCGATGACATGGCACGCTAAATTAATAGGTAATATCTAATTTAACACCTCAATGTTGTTTCCCGGGGGTGCTGACGAAAGGGGTGAAGAAGAGTTGCAAGTTGGGGCCTGGAAAGGGAAACCTTATTAATGAATACTTAAATACAAGCTTCTTTCCTAGTAATCACATTCAAGAACAATCCTTGAGTTTCTTCAGCTCAAAACAATGAATAAATAGAGATGTAGAAGAAGCTTGTGTTAAAGCATCAGAATTCGAATTCGTAAAAGGAATAAAAATAAAGAATGACAAAAATTATCCATAACCATAATCTTGAAGCTGCTGTAAAGACAAGGCAAATTATGACACAGGGGCTTCTGGCAGTTGCAGTTTTCAGAAACAAGATCTGGATATCACTACTTCTCCAACCCAATGAAATGGACTAAGTGGAGAAAAGAAACAGTCAGGTTGATGAACTAAAAGTCCAAATGAGATTTGACTTGATGTTCACTGTTTGCCTTTTATCATGTGCGCCTGCATTATTACTGCCAGTAGTTTTCTTCTGGAAAAATTTCTTCTTTCATAAACTTCTTGGATCCCACATGACTTGTTGAGTGATGGTCATTAAAAATAAAAATAACAAAAATCTACAGTTAAATTCTGCTTTTATTAAGAAGTGATTACTGAAACAACACACTCAATACACCCATGACCCCATATCCATGGCTTCATCATCCCATTCTCTCATTGTATTAGAGCAATCAAAACAAAGATGGTAAAATTATTTCACATGGAGAAGTAAAAAGAAAAAAAGGAAATAATTTTGATTGAAATGTTATTAACTTCATTCACTTGGTCCAACACTCTGGGGTTATGGCATGGTTCCTTTTGGGGTCCCTGCAATAGTTATAGACCATATGGTATCTTTGAACCCATCTCATTGCTCTACGTTGTTGCATTGTGAGCCCGCCGGACCGGAAAGGCGAGGCTGAGACAGGCCGGCACCAAGCGGGCGCATAGGCGCTGCAACCTCCTGCTTTGAAGTTGGTGTACTTTGCTACAAAAGGTTGGTATCTGTAATCAGCTTTGTATTTCCCATCTTCAGTTGCCCATGATGAGGCATCCCATATCGAACCATACACCCACATTGGCCTTAAAGGAAATGTTGCAGCACTCTTCCTCGGATACCTCCTTATAGGCACATCATCTACTAAGAATCTGATACAGATATCAACATATAGAATACATTCTAGACAAAATGAAATGTGTATACATTATTGCAGCTGAATAAAAAACTATTCATGTTTCATTCTTATTTCAATACACTTACATGATATCTCTAGGACTCCAAAGAATGGCATAGTGGTGAAAATCTTTGGTAGGATCAAACCAAAGATGAAACTTCATTTCCCTGCCAATGATTTTCCCATCCCCACTCCCTCTGATATACACATTTGTTTGTAAAGTGTAAGGCTTCCCAAATGTAGTTCCTAGGAACTCAATGTCCACCTCATCATGGAACCCTGGATGAGCTTCATTGTTTGATAGCTGCCATTTGTTTGATTTTCTAATTAGAAAAAAAACTGTGCATTAACAAAGAATATGAAGCTAGAAATTAGATTAAGTTCCTTCAATTTCTCACATAGAAAGCTGTTATGACCCCTGCAGTATAACCAGGTTGCACTTTAATGGATGCTCCAAAGTAACCAGAACGAAAAGGCTTAACTGACTTGAACCCACTGCCTGAAAAAACCAAATCCAAAGCAGTTAGAGAAGGTAACAAATACCAGATTGATATAAGCAGCTACTAAAAAGTAAGTACCTGAAGTTCTGTCAAGCCAGATTGTTAATGCATTTTGGTCTACACTTTGATGAGCAGGACCCCAAAGATTTCGAAACCCTTTATAAAAGCTCATAGGCCTAAACTTAGAGCTTGGCCAGTAACCAGGTGAAGGTGGCCAGCCAGCATTGGCTGAAGGAAACAATAGAATGAGAATAAATGAGAGGAATATAGCCATGGTGAAGAATGAAAGAAAGAAAGTTGCAGAGGGGGGGGGGGAGGTGGAATGATTGGGAGTGTATAAATGGTGGTGTGTGATTTGTGATTTGTGATTTGTGATTTGTGATTTGTGACTTGTGAGAGAGAAGCTGTAAATGAAGAGTATGGCAGGCCAGCTCTGATTAATTAAAAAAAAGGGTAAAGTACTCAAATGACCACTTAACTATGGTCTTGGTGTCAATATGACCACCGTATTTTCAAATTTAGAATCACATAATTATTTAAGTGGTTTCAATATAGCTAAATAAGTCACCTACTGTTACAAAATAAACGACGTAGCTTATGTGGTTGTTATTGACTAACAGTAAATCAGAGGTCTACATCTACGCCATTTGTTTTGTAATGGCTAGTGACTACATTGAAACCACTTCAATAGTTATTGGATCGGATCATATTGTAAAAATTGGAATTATAATGGTTAAATCGACACCAACCTTACAGTTAAGTGATCATTTAAGTAATTTATCCTTTAAAAAACGAAAAGATAGTGGGGTCACATTGGGACATGGAGGAAGGTGAAGAAGAATCAAAGGCTTAATTACAAAGTACATACAGATTTGTTTGCTCATAAACTACAACTATTTTGCTTGGATTTATATGGTTGGAAGCAAGCTAAGAAAAGAAGATGAGATGCAGAAAAGGGTAGATGGGTATCTCTTAAATGTGTTTTCTTTTC